ACGTCAAGGTCTTTCTTCACAGGTGATGCAAGTATTCATACGTCAAGGTATTTCTTCACAGGTGATGCAAGTATTCATACGTCAAGGTGTTTCTTCACAGGTGATGCAAGTATTCATACGTCAAGGTCTTTCTTCACAGGTGCTGCAAGTATTCATACGTCAAGGTGTTTCTTGTAACACGACGTTTCATGACTCTTTTACGCTCTATTGATATTCGCTGTCTTTACTCTTTTCACAGAACATGAGCCTGGGCAGTTACCACCGTTTTCTTTCCCTTCCACGCCATCTTCCCGAGGCTAAGGAGTTTGCCGAACTAGGTGTCCCTTCTATGTCCCTCCTATTGACCAATCAGATTACATTTCTCATATCACTTGCATTTGCTTCAAACAAAATGGCGGCGCCTAGTCAAGACAATCTGATCGATAATCAAGATTTATATTGTAACAAAATGGGTCATACTCCGCGAAGTGCATCAGATCACCTCAGCACCTGGGTAAATAACATGAAAAGATAAGCAAAACATCTGTCGACGCCCAGTTGACGGTACACATGCTTTGCAAATCCTGCATTCGACAGAAATCTGCACGTTGAAATCAATGTTGTTTACGAACCGGGTGGACCTGTGACGATCCGGGGTAGAATAGGTCTTCAGCAACCCATGCTTGCCATAAGAGGCGACTAACGGGAACCGGTGGCCAGGTTCGCTGACTTGGTTGATGCATGTCATCGTATTCCAATTGCGTAGATTGATGCTCATGATCACCTGATTGTCAGGTCCCGACTCGATTATTTACAGAACGTCGTCATATAGCGTAAATATTGCTGAGTGCGGCGTTAAACAACAAACAAACAAACAAACAAAAAACGAACCGGATGTGTAGTTCGTTACGCAATTATGATTGGACTATGCATAGACTCGTTAATCAAGCCCAGTTCGGCAAGGATTGAAACTGGACTTTAATGGTCAGTTCACGCCCTTGCTTCGGGAAAATGCTTCCACACAGACCCAGAAGATTGTTTCGACACATGCAGATACTTCAAGGGAAGGCGAGTTGCGTCCCTTTACACGTGATACACGATATCAGTTATCGATGTTAGGACATCCAGGACACATAATAGACTCTTGTATTGAGATAAACATGTATTGTTTTATTGAAAAGTCGTTAAAAACCATGTAAATGCATGTCCTTAACATAATACACACACTGTCCCACTGGGAACAAAGGACTGGTTACTGCGGGTCAATTGGGTTCCTCCCTAACCAGGCTAATACGGTACATTGTAACGTAACAATTCAGAGTGAGTGAGTGAGTTTTACGCCGCTTTTAGAAATATTCCAGCAATATCACGGCGGGGGACACCAGAAATGGCTTCACACATTGTACCCATGTCGGGAATCGAACCCGGGTCTTCGGCGTGACGAGCGAACGCTTTAACCACTAGGCTACCCGACCGCCCCTAACAATTCAGATGTACATAGGTGTACATGTAGCAAAGTTGCCGATATATTCATGTGTTTCTTGAAACAAATACCGTAGTCGACTTAATAAGCGCCCCGCTCTAATAAGCGCCCACGGCGATATTTGCTAATATATTGGCAAGTGAACGATCCCAATTAGCACCCCTTCCGATTGATCAATGTACACAAGAGTTATTTATTCGCGTATAATACGCACTCAATCATGTGTTATGTGCACCCTTAATCATGGGCAACTAAATTCTGGAACAATATATCTGTCGTATATAAACATTTCAGGCTGTCAGCATAAACCACGAAATTTACGATCTTTCAACTCTTTCACCAAAATTATATTCTAATAAGAGCCCCCTATTTCTTATTTTGAGAGCGCCCTGGGCGCTTATTATGTAGAATACGGTACACGAGAAAACTCTCCAATCACTTTACAACAACCACGGGAAATAAATTGGTACGTGATAACTTTCTTAGACGTGTTAGTTCATGACTTCCATTCCGCAACGGGAACGAGTGAGAAATTACCAGAAGCTGAAGCCATCATTCGAACCGAGTTGATTTTTACACAGTAGGCCTATTGACCACTTAACCACCAATCGATTTTCCCGTATACTAAGGCTACGAAACCATGACAGCCACGTTGACCTGATCTGCCGTTCCATAACATGCTGATGTAAAAACGGTTTTTATTCCGAAATATTTCCATGTAGGAGATAACGATTCTTTAAGAGATAATGATGTAGACTCACAACGTATTTCCAGATGAAAATCTGTCCAACAAAATTCTTTCTTTCTACAGCTAATACAAACGCACACTCTACAACAAAAGATTGTTAAGATTTTATGAATGGACTAACATATTTATAAATGCAATACTTAACGGATTTGATAACGAAGAAAATGAAATACTGATAAGAATGACTGAGCGTGATTAACGTTGACGATCAAGCAGAGGCACCTCCATCAAAGCATACATGAGTGAGTATAATTTTACTCCGCTTTTAGCAATATTACAGTAATACCACGATGGGGGCTTTACACATTGCACCCACGGAAGGAGTCGACCCGGTTTCAGGCGTGATTGGACAACGCCTTAACCATTCGGCCACCCCCTCCCATCAAGCATACAACAAAGACTGACATGGATTGGTACCAATTAGATAGTAGACTGCACATTCCCATAATCTTGTACTGTATGTACATGTGTCTAAATTCAAAACAACTGCAATTCCACAGAAAGGTGTTACTCGTAAAAGAAAGCAAAGCATTATAGACATTACGTTTCTACTGCAATACAGGGGCCCAATATGAACATACAAATATTCGCACTTACAAAACCTTTAGGAGGAGAGATGTGTTAAAGCTTTGGAATGAGGTCTATTATCCTGCAGAGAACTGTTAGTTTGAGGCAAATGTTGGCGACACCTATTCCTAAACATTAAAGTGAGTGAGAATAGTTTTACGACGCTTTTAGCAATATTCAAGTAACAATACGGAGGGGGACACCAGAAATGGGCTTCACACAAGTGCACCCATGTGGGGAATCGAACCCGGGTCTTCGGTGTGGCGAGCGAACGCTTAACCACTAGGCTACCCGACCGCCCCGAATAAACATTACAGTTTAAAACATACCATGCATTCCTCGCCATTCGTATCATTCCGTGACACGCAGTTCGTTTTCATTCGCAACTTAACGTCCTCATTCGGCAAGTCCCGGAATGATACGAGGTGGTCCCGAATACCTACGATTCTGGTTTGTATCTCACCCTGAGCCGAGAAATATATTGCTGTACTTTTTTTTAACACATCAAACGTTGATATACTTTTTGTAAGCTCACATTTTTTTCTTAGTATGATAAAAGTTTTATTCCAATTTTTACTGATGCTTCTTATGAAGTATAATTGTTATAGATTGTGGTTACCTCCCTTGGTCCTCTTTGCGGCCATGTAATTGGTTGTGGTAATGTTTGAGTTGGGGCGTGTACATGCACGACGTACACTCCAACTACAATAAAAGGTACCAAGGTACCGAAGGCAGGTCACGAATGGAAGTCCAATGAGTTTTGCATCAACTACCGGAATAAGCCGAGAATGTACGAGTGAACAAGGGGAGATAACCACGTCTAAACTGCATGTTTTGGTCGATCAACATACCTCATTACACAATTATGAACTGGTTTATCACTGGCTTATTGGATACCTTGTACTACCGCTCTTCTTTTTTGATCATGTAAATTCAAAGCTATTCTACAATGTACATCTCTATACATTTTGGCGTGATGAAACTCAGAACATGTACAAATATAAATATATTCTTATGGACAATAAATGACGTTTGAAAGTTGTAACAAAATAGGCTTCACATCTGACAATACAAGATACGACAGAAAATACCCTTTACTGGTAAAGAGGAAAGTATATGTACATGTACAAGCGCGTCGCGTGACATCTCCGTGATGAAGAATGCATGTCCAAGCACTTCCGTTGTGGAGGTCGCCTCTCCGGCCTGTTGTTTCAACTGGATCTGTATTGAATTCAATATTGCATCAAATCCGGATAATAAAAATCTGAAATAAGAAACAAGGATTTAAGTTAGATTTTCAACGTGTCAGCATTTCGCATACGTTAATTGCATTGCCATAGCAGTACGGCGGTCACACCAACACGCCCAGTCGTGGGATACATACGGTGCAAAATTATTTGAAAAGACGCCTATTGCAAGTCTAGATCGACCCACACAGCTCTCGTGCTTAACGCCGCACTCACCAATATTCAAGCTATATGACGGAGGCCTGTAAATAACCGAGTCTGGACCAGACAATCCAGTGATTGACATCATGAGCACCGATCCAAGCAGTTTGGATACGATGACATGCATCAAGCAAGTCAGCGAGCCTGACCATCCGATCCCGTTAGTCGCCTTTTACGACAAGCATGGGTTGCTTAAGACCTAGTCTAACCGGGATCTTCAGGGTCCGATACAGCTCTCATTCACATAGCACTTCCATTTCTCAGATTTTCAAAAAACATAAATCAGTTTTCGCTGGATGACCTGACCGAGTTGGTTGAGTGAGTGAGTGAGTTGGGTTTAACTCCGCTTTTAACATTATTCCAGTTATAACGCTGCGTGTCAGCTTAATGTGAGAGGAAAGCCCGAAGTGATGCAGGTCTTAGACGTTTACCACTTCGGTGAAACCCACGAGCACGGCTATGGTGCTGACAAACCTAGAAACATAATCGGGGTGAACCGGGATTCGAACCCACAATCATAGGTTTCTGGCGTGTCCAGGGGACGCAAATCTGCACAGCGAATCGCGGCGCCTTAGACGACTGGGCCACCCGCGCCCCGCTGACCGAGTTGGACCTGATTTACTCATGTTTTAACAGGCCATTTCGCACCCACAAGAATCGTCACCCACTGAATAAACCATGGATTAGAACCCTGGTCTGACTGTAGCGAGTGGAAGCAGCAACTACTGTGCTACCTGCAAACAGTACCAGTGCCTTTGTAAACAGACAGCGTTACCTCAGTAGCTTGACTTGTTCCTTAGCTTTGTTCTTGGACTGGGCTCGGGAGTTTCAAGAATTCAAACAGCGTGCCTAATTCAATTGCGTCAGCAAACGTTTCATAATTCTGTAACAGAGTGAGTTAGTTAGTTAATGTCCTGTCGAACAACATTTCGGTAACATCATACAGTGTCAGAGTGATGCAGACCTTAGACGTTTACAGACGAGCATGTGTCTGTGTTGTGACAAACATGGAAACAAAATCAGACCGAGGGAATCGAACCGTGTACAGAGAATGCGCCTTAGACGACTGGGCCACCTGTGCCCCCTAATTATTTAACAATTAGATAAACACCCAACGCTGTGACAATCAGATAAATACCCAACGCTGTAACAATCTGACAAACACCCAACACTAACAATCACATAAACATTCAACACTGTAACATAAAGACACACCCAACGCTGTAAAAATCAGACAAACACCCAACGCTGTAAAAATCAAACACCCAACACTGTAACAATCAGATAAACACGCAACACAGTAACATTCAGATAAACACCCAATGCTGGAACAATCAGATAAACACACACCACTGTAACAATCAGATACACACCCAACAATGTAACAATCATACACAACCAACACTGTAACAATCACATAAACATTCAACAGTGTAACAATCACATAAACATTCAACACTGTAACAATCACATTAACACCCAACACTGTAACAATCAGAAGATACACACACAACACTGTAACAATCAGATTAACACCCTAGAAATAAAATATTAAACAAAAAAAAGTTAATTTGGTGTGGCATAATTAAATCCAAATGTTTTCTCATGGTAATGTTTTGCCGCCATTTCCTGGTGTTAAATAAATCGCCTTGCTTGACCTTTAATCTGAAGACAAAATGCCACACCAGGGGCATGGACAACAGATAAGTCTGCAAGATTTGTTTCCCCTACACCACTTTCATAAGGATTCTATATTTCGCCCTAATGGTCACTCGAAAACCACACCACCAATGTCGACGGAAGATTTCTAAGAACTGAATTAATGTAGGTTTAATGATATCAAGAAGTAGCAATTTTGTATGAATGTCAACTTCTTCACTCACACTGTTGTCCTCCATACAAACTGTTGCTACCTAACCCATGTTCTAGGCCAATCATGGAATACTGAGTGTGTATGCCATGGCGTTATTGTAAACAAAAGCCGGCGATTTTAGATGCATACTTATATCAACATTATTCATAACAATGGTCCCATTACAAAATATTAATAAAGCTGAAAACATATGTGTTAAAATAGTTCATACAGCATAAATATTCAAAAAGGTAAGTTTTAAATATTAATTACTATCCAATAAATAATGAAACGTAATTACTTCCACTACTAAAAACTGACTGTTCCCCTGGGATTGTTTTGTTGTTGATCGCACGAAGCATCATTCCTGGGGTATCAGTACATAATCGAGCCTGGACCAGACAATCGAGTGACTCATATTATAAGCAACGATCCACGCCATCGGGGTTCATTGACACACAATCAACCAAGCGCAACCACCCGATCCATTATTTTCTTTAATTTTTAAATGGTTAAACGTCGCACTGAGAAATATTCCAGCTATATAAATCTGGACCTGACAATCAAATGAGCGATATCATGAGCAACGATCCCCACCGTCGGGGTACAAGGACACGCGATCAACCAAGTCACCGAGCCTGGCCTCCCGTTCCATTGAGTAGCCTCTTAATGTAGCCTTCAGCAACCAATGCTTGCGTAAAAGGCGACTATGCTTGTCGTAAGAGACGACTAACGGGATAAGGTGGTCAGGCTCGCTGACTTGGTTGATGCATGTCATCGATCCCAATTGCGTGGATCGATGCTAATGATGTCAATCACTGGATTATCTGGTCCAGACTCGATTAATTTACAGACTGCCGTCATATAGCTGGAATATTGGTGAATGCGGCGTTAAACAGCAAACAATCTTACAAACAGGAAAGGTTGCTAGGGACCTATTCTAACCCGGAACCCCCTAGGGTTGAATCATAAGAATTTAATCAGAGCATGGTGTCACTACACTACTGATTTCAATACTTACTCCACAATACTCGTTTCCGTTACAGATTTGAGGAGCAAGTCCGCGTTCATCCCCCATGATGGCCCTCATCTCGTCCTTGTAATCAGGATTGGAAGCTATGTCGATCTTAATAAAGCTAACTTTCTTCGCCTCGAGCACCTGCTCGATCTTGTTTTGCTGGCATACCGTCTGGAAGGAAACACACACATAGATAAGTAAATGAGTGAGTGAGTGAGAGAGTTTAGGCCGAAGTTTGTATAATTCCAGCTATATCAGGACATGGTACTCCTGTAACGGGCTTCACAAATTATAATTGAAGGAAAATTAAGAACAGAATCAAAGGTCAAGGTCATGTAAAGTGTTAAGGAAAGAGGTCAAAGTCATGTAAAGTGTTAAGGAAAGAGGTCAAAGTCATGTAAAGTGTTCAGGAAAGAGGTCAAAGTCATGTAAGTGTTCAGGAAAGAGGTCAAAGTCATGTAAAGTGTTCAGGAAAGAGGTCAAAGTCATGTAAAGTGTTTAAGGAAAGAGGTCAAAGTCATGTAAGTGTTCAGGAAAGAGGTCAAAGTCATGTAAAGTGTCAAGGAAAGAGGTCAAAGTCATGTAAGTGTTCAGGAAAGAGGTCAAAGTCATGTAAAGTGTTAAGGAAAGAGGTCAAAGTCATGTAAGTGTTCAGGAAAGAGGTCAAAGTCATGTAAAGTGTCAAGGAAAGAGGTCAAAGTCATGTAAAGTGTTCAGGAAAGAGGTCAAAGTCATGTAAGTGTTCAGGAAAGAGGTCAAAGTCATGTAAAGTGTTCAGGAAAGAGGTCAAAGTCATGTAAAGTGTTAAGGAAAGAGGTCAAAGTCATGTAAGTGTTCAGGAAAGAGGTCAAAGTCATGTAAGTGTTCAGGAAAGAGGTCAAAGTCATGTAAGTGTTCAGGAAAGAGGTCAAAGTCATGTAAAGTGTTCAGGAAAGAGGTCAAAGTCATGTAAGTGTTCAGGAAAGAGGTCAAAGTCATGTAAAGTGTTCAGGAAAGAGGTCAAAGTCATGTAAGTGTTCAGGAAAGAAGTCAAAGTCATGTAAAGTGTTCAGGAAAGAGGTCAAAGTCATGTAAAGTGTTAAGGAAAGAGGTCAAAGTCATGTAAGTGTTCAGGAAAGAGGTCAAAGTCATGTAAGTGTTCAGGAAAGAGGTCAAAGTCATGTAAGTGTTCAGGAAAGAGGTCAAAGTCATGTAAAGTGTTCAGGAAAGAGGTCAAAGTCATGTAAGTGTTCAGGAAAGAGGTCAAAGTCATGTAAAGTGTTCAGGAAAGAGGTCAAAGTCATGTAAGTGTTCAGGAAAGAGGTCAAAGTCATATAAAGTGTTAAGGAAAGAGGTCAAAGTCATGTAAAGTGTTAAGGAAAGAGGTCAAAGTCATGTAAGTGTTCAGGAAAGAAGTCAAAGTCATGTAAAGTGTTCAGGAAAGAGGTCAAAGTCATGTAAAGTGTTCAGGAAAGAGGTCAAAGTCATGTAAGTGTTCAGGAAAGAGGTCAAAGTCATGTAAGTGTTCAGGAAAGAGGTCAAAGTCATGTAAAGTGTTCAGGAAAGAGGTCAAAGTCATGTAAAGTGTTAAGGAAAGAGGTCAAAGTCATGTAAAGTGTTCAGGAAAGAGGTCAAAGTCATGTAAGTGTTCAGGAAAGAGGTCAAAGTCATGTAAAGTGTTCAGGAAAGAGGTCAAAGTCATGTAAGTGTTCAGGAAAGAGGTCAAAGTCATGTAAAGTGTTAAGGAAAGAGGTCAAAGTCATGTAAAGTGTTCAGGAAAGAGGTCAAAGTCATGTAAGTGTTAAGGAAAGAGGTCAAAGTCATGTAAGTGTTCAGGAAAGAGGTCAAAGTCATGTAAAGTGTTAAAGGAAAGAGGTCAAAGTCATGAAAATTGTTAAAGGAGAGAGGTCAAAGTCATATAAAGTGTTAAAGGAGAGAGGCCAAAGTCATATAAAGTGTTAAGGAAAGAGGTCAAAGTCATATAAAGGGTTAAGGAAAGAGGTCAAAGTCATATAAAGTGTGAAAGGAGAAAGGTCAAAGTCATATAAAGGGTTAAGGAAAGAGGTCAAAGTCATATAAAGTGTTAAAGGAAAGAGGTCAAAGTCATATAAAGGGTTAAGAATCGGATGAGCTTCCGAATGAGAACATAGTAAAGGAACTGAAACCCATGAAGTGTTCATGTGACATAACTTAAGTCCTCATTCATAAGAGGGTTTGAATCATCCTCGATGATCCAGGAAATTATATTTCTAGTCTATTTAATACATAAAGACATAATACGCCGGATAATCGATGATGGGAATGAGACCGGACTCAGCTTGTAGCCCCTAATGCCCCAAACTCCAAGTAAGACGGCAAACATTTGTTTAGTAAAGATACCAGCCAACGCTAGCACATCCCCCGTACGTGACGCAATGCCAGCAGCAGTGTGACAGGCTCGTGATGTGTTCACACGGAGGCTTAAACAATGTCTATCATTTTTGTCAACAAAAACTAAACATCCGAGCCCAACCTTTGCAGAGATGCGCATCTGACCTGCCATGGGACGTGTGCAAGTGGCCTTAGCCAGAAACGTTCACGCCATAAATGGTTATGTTGTCTTTTACTTTCCGAGATTCATTTGAAGAGAGGATAGGGTTGTCATAAACATTCCCTTCCTTATTTTTTAATATTGTTGCCAACATGATACAGAACCGTGATTAACATCTGTTTTAATACCGAAACTTAACGCAGGTCGGTGTATTGTGATTTTGTATCGAGATCAGATATTTTGTCAGCTTCAGCTACAAAACCAGATAACACCTTGCAATAATGTTATTATTTTTTGCAAGAAGTATCAATAAAAAATGCCCCCGCCCCTCATCCAACGAATATCAAATGATCGATCCCCAACAGCCAGCTGCGTAGGTTGATGGGGACATACTCTCACCAGGACTCCGCACTTTGTGATACCGCGTATTCATATACAGTAAACTACGGTTATAACGAACTCAAAGGGACTACTAATTTTAGTTCGTTATAACCGTAGTTTGTTATATGCATATATACAACATAACTACAGCAAAAAGTCGGGACCAAAAAAGTAAGTTCGTTATATCCGTCGGTTCGTTATAAGTGTGTTCGTTATAACCGTAGTTCGTTATATCCGTCGGTTCGTTATAAGCGTGTTTGTTATAACCGTAGTTCACTCTATGCACTCGAGTAAACATGCAATGAAGGCTACACTGCGTTTCATTCGTAAACACGGCAACAAGGAACAAACATGGAAACTTGGCCAAAAATATTTCTCTGCAAGGAGATGCCTGCATGCGGCAAGTTTGGGTGGCACGGGGCATCAAATCCCTACGGAAGGGCGCTAATCCCCCGCTAATCCTTGCAGTCTTGGCACAGTGACGTGACAGTCTGCAACACACGTCCCTGTCCGTCAACACCGTCCGAGTCCAGAACCCGATCTACAGTTGTCAATGTCCATCGGCGAGGGCGTTACGCTGATTCCGTCATCTAGAAGCTATTCGCAGCGAGAACAGGCATTAGCTTGAATGAATGAATGTAGTTTTACGACGCAGTTAACAGCATTCCAACCATATTACATTTTCCCGAGGCAAGTGCGTTAACTGACTATAAAAGTCCAGTTTCCACCCTTGCCGAACTAGGCTGGTATTATGGAGTTACATTTTGGCTGGACTAACGAGTCTATGCATAGTCCAATCAAAATCGCGCACCGAAATTGAAATCCGGTTCGTAAACTGTCGCGCAGATTTCGGTCGATTGCAGGATTTGCAAAGCATATGCACCACCAAATCGTTGTCAGCAGATATTTTCCAAATCTTTTCATGTTTTTAATCAAGATGCTCACGTGATTTGATGCATTTCGCGATGTAAGACCCGTTTTTTAACACAACAGATTTTGATTATCGATCAGATCGTCCTGACCGGGCGCAACCATTTTGTGTGAAGCAAACGCAAGTGATCCGAGAGGTGGAAGCTGATTGGTCCTTACGGGAGGTTTAGAAGGGACATAATTGGCAATAGCCACTGGTGGCGCTACGATCGAGCCCAGTAATTCCAGCCTAGTTCGGCAAGGGTGGAAACTGGACTTTTAAAGTCAGTTAACTCTCTTGCCTCGGGAAGATGACCATATTAGGGCGACCTGTAAATATTCAAATCGACGTCAGACAAACCGTCGTCTGGGTAAGATGACAAGGTCAAACTTGGTAAAATCCGATGTCATTGGAATCAGCTCTTATGGTGAGGTGAAATGGGGTTTAACGTCGCGTTCAAGATTATTGTACTTTTATAAGGTGTGTGTGTGTGTGTGTGCGTGCGTGCGTGCGTGCGTGCGTGCGTGTGTGCGTGCGTGCGGGTAGCCTAGTGGTTAAAGCGTTTGCTCGTCACGCCGAAGACTCGGGTTCGATTTTCCAGATGGGCAAAATGTGTGAAGCCCATTTCTGGTGTCCCCCGACGTGATATTGCTGGGATATTGCTAAAAGCGGCGTAAAACCATACTCCCACTCTAACCGAAAACGCGTTCGGTTTAATAGAGGGATGAGACACTATATTCCCATATATACTAGTCATTGACAGAAATTCTAGCCGAGGCAACTAGCCGTGCTAAACGCCCTCTGGTGACAAATATACTACTCATAAGAAGTTAAGAATCACTATATTCTTTCGTATTCTATTTATCTGTTACGGAATAACAGATTAACTATAGTAAACTACGGTTATAACGAACACGCTTAAAACGAACTTACGGATATAACGAACTTACTTTTTTGGTCCCGACTATTTGCTGTAGTTGTGCTGTATATATGCTTATAACGAACTACGGTTATAACGAACTAAAAATAGTAGTCCCCTTGAGTTCGTTATAACCGTAGTTTACTGTGATATGAAAGTATCAGGTGGACCTTAACTTCTTTTGAGTGGTATAGCTTCAGCCGATTCAAACGTCTCGCATGCAGAGATACACAGATTGAGGTATCCAATACGCTGGGTCATTACTTTCATATGTCTGGTGTATAATAACGGTATACAATGCCCTACACTGGCAAATATGCCATTGATTATCAAGCTGGTGGCACAGCTGGTAGACTGACACCACCTACAGTCATAGAGGACCTTCGCCATCTGCTGGCACACTGTGTATACCATGAATATATTGCACAATACGAATAAATTTCACAAAAGAAAATTGGTTCCAAGACCAAGCCGCTTATATCTTTAATACTAATACAATATTGATTAAGCGTGGATACAGCTTTTTGATGGAGTTGGGGATAGTATTCCCTCTATTTCACAGATGCCTGTATATAATCGAGTCTGGACCAGATAAACCAGTGGTTGATATTACGAGCAACTCCATCAATCAAGACACCGAGTCTGACCATTCGATCTAATCTCTTCTTACTATGAGCTGGTTAAAGCGTTCGCTCGTCACGCCGAAGACCCGGGTTCGATTCCCGACATGGGTACAATGTGTGAAGCCCATTTGTGGTGTCCCCCGCCGTGATATTGTTGGAATATTGCTAAAAGCGGCGTAAAACCATACTCACTCACTCACTCACTTACTATGAGCATAAGGTTTTGGCGACAGACCGCCTCCGTGGTCTACTGGTAGAGCGTCTGCCCGGAGAGCGGGTGGTTCGAGGTTCAATCCCCGGCTGCGTCATACCAAAAGACGTTAAAAGATGGTACTTGTTGTTACCCTGTCTGGCGCACGGCATTAAGCGGCTATGTTGAGTTATGTTAAATATGTTATACTTATAGTATATACTTTGTACCGGGTCCCTTGGGGATGTTTTGTACAAAAAGAAATCTTGAACATGCTTCCCCACAGGAGTGGAGAGGGCAGAAAACAAGTGCTCAGCATTAAATCAAGTGGGTGAGTGAGTATGGTTTTACGCCGCTTTTAGCAATATTCCAGCAATATCAGGCGTTAACCACAAGGCTCCCCGATCGTCCAGTCTTTAATTAAACGTACAAAGTATAGGCAAAAAACAACACCATTAAGGGTGTAGACGGTCCATGTGAAAAACATTGACCACAGTGCACTGTCAGTACGAGCTTGCCCCTTTAACTGTTCTCTAGATCAACAACGTTGACGTGATTGCATTGAAGTATTTTATCAAGATCAGACCTCAACATTCTGACCTGGCGGTAAGATAGTTGAATTTATCTTAAGTCGTCTGGCATTTCCAGAAACCGGAAGCGACTCATTCAACAATCTGAGTCACCGGAAGCAACACTTCCGCCATTTTGCAGTAATCCTTATCTCAGAAATACAAAGCCATCAACAGTACGAGAGCGCCTCAATGTGGAGTTGTTGGTGTGATCAACAGTACGAGAGCAACTATAAGTGTGAGGTATTTCTGTATGATCAAGACGTCAACGCTATTTGCAGTGAAAATACATGAGAAGAAAAAAAAGCAAATTATGTCTAAGGCCAAACTGTTATTCTCTGGATCACGGATTAGCATACTCGGGTCTGGGCAAGGATCTGTTCGTACAACACTCACATTCTTTACTATTGTTAGTGAGTCGTGTTTAAGTCTGTCTCGGACACTATTTTCAGTTTATCACAGCCGATCAGCTCATGTGGGAGGGAAAACAAACAGTTTGGTGGAACCCACGAGCACACAAATGGTGCAGGCAAACCAATTATCACAATCAGGGAGAATCCAGGATGCGAACCTAAGATCAGCGAATCCTGTCAACGAAAGGATGACACTCAAAACAGCGACCACCCAGCATCATATCGTAAACAGACTTTAAATAGGCAGAATGCTGTAGCGATTTGTAAAACCGAGCCCATGGCCTCGTTAAAATAAATGCAGCTCAACTCAACAAACAAGTCTATGTTACGGTATGGGAGTTTTAGCACTGACGTCCCTCAGTGACCACGGTCTAGGTGCGGCAATATAGCAAACAGTGCATGGCCAACATGGAAGAGTGTATTGTAGTTTGTCTGTGTGTTTGTTTGTTTGTTTGTTTTACGCCGCACTCACCAATATTCCAGCTATATGACGGCGGTCTGTAAATAATCGAGTCTGGACCAGACAATCCAGTGATTGATATCATGAGCATCAATCTACGCAATTTGAACACGATGACATGCTTCAACAAAGTCAGCGAACCTGATCACCCGATCCCGTTAGTTGCCTCTTAAGACAAGCATAGTCGCCTTTTACGGCAAGAATGGGTTGCTGAAGACCTTTTGTAAACAGCTTCTGAGTTTGTTCGCAATGCCTCTTCTCTGGACACTGAGAACAATTTCCTGGTACTTTCTCTTCTGATGTTAAGTTTGTTTGTTGTTTAACGCCACACTCAGCAATATTATTCCGGTGGCATGTACATAATCTAGTCTGGGCCATACGATCCAATGATTGATATTGTGAACAACGATCCTCCCCGCGTCTGGGAGAAGATGACACGTCGTCATCCAAGTCACCTAGCCAGACCACACCTGATTTGATCGCCTTATACGACATGCATAGGTTTCTGGGGACCAATTCGAACCCGGAATCCGCACGGATTAGAGTCTGGGGTACGTGATCCGAATGCAATTAGCACTGGCTTAATGGGAATACGTCATGAGTGAGTGAGTGAGTATGGTTTTACACCGCTTTTAGCAATATTTCAGCAATATCACGGCGGGGGACACAAGAAATGGGCTTCACACAGTGTGCCCATGTCGGGAGTCGAACCCGGGTCTACGGCGTGACGAGCGTACGCCTCAACCACTAGGCTACCCGACCGCCCCGAATAACACATGATACTCAACAGATACCAAACGCTTAGAAGAACCTCGTGGGAAACAGATCCGAATTTAAGAGGTATCCTATTTTCAGGCTTCAGGAGTGACAAGCATCCCCAGTATGCAGACGCAAAAGCTAACACACACAGATCGAAGAATGAGTCATTATTTTGACGGGACACAAAAAACGTTTACACCGGTTCCTCCAAGGCGCAGTGTAATTCAAGGACACAGCTGACGGACCCCTAGGTCACCGTGACCTTCATACATATCTGCAATGAAAGCAGGTCTTAAACCGAATGAACGTCTCTTGAAATAGACTTTGGGAAATTTTACATATCTATTTAACTACATAATATGTTCTCAATGTGTTGCTGCGTTGTATACAAGTGTTGACATTGTTATGGTATGTGCCTGGTTTATGAGCTGTTTAAATACTGTTTGAATATGTTAATTGCTGAAATCATAGCCACCCATAAACACCTAGTATGATTCATCTCGGCCCTGGCTCGGCACATTTGTAGTCGCCGCAGGTTAAAACTGAAATGCAGCATTGCGACATTTAAAGGCCAGTTAGTATCGTGATTTGAAACATATTCATGTAGACCAATCTCTTTGATCTAGTTTTCAATATTATATAATCTTACAAAAAGTCAGTGTGAATTTCAAAATACTAGAGACTATCCGTAAATTGTGTTTATTTTGTCAATAGGTGGCAAGTCTAGATTACTGCAGTATCAGGAAGTCTCCAGGCTCCTTTTTATTACATTGTATAACTATAATTTAACAACTGTATTTTTTCAGCATTATAGTTCCGAGACTAGATCTTAGTCTAAATCGAGACCACAAAACCACGTGGGTACACACAGGCGGACGAGGCCCCCGGGGTGTTAAGCTCGACGTACGAGTCGACTGTGAGTGCGTGAGTTGGGTTTAACGCCGCTTTGAACAATATTCAAGTTATATCACGGCGTGTCAGCTTAATGTTGCTGTTATTTCTTGTTCAACGCCGCAATATTCCAGCTATATGACGAGGTCCGTAAATAATCGAGTCTGGACCAGACAATCGTGATGGACATCATCTACGCAATTGGGATCCGATGACATGTATCAACCAAGTCAGCGAGCCTGACCACCCGATCCCGTTAGTCGCCTTTTACGGCAAGCATAGTCGCCTTTTACGGCAAGCACGGGTCGCTGAAAAAAACCTATTCTAATACAACGACCTTTAGACCGGGGAAGGAGGAAGTGGAAATAAAGACGAACAGGAAACCGTTATAAACTCTGAACTTACAATGCGTTGAAATCATAAAGTCATATCCCTTGGTTCTTTCTAATTCACAAGACCTCCTATGAAATACACATATACGTCTCAAGCTAAAGAAAATAAGTGTGTTTCAATATTTGCTAAGACATTCCTCAACGCCAAGAGTACTTTAATATATATACATAGCATACACGCCTCAAGCAATGTCAACACTTGAACAACACCCACCAGCTTTTTCATGTAGGGCACAGCGAATTTTTAATGTCATACATCTCAGATACTAGTATACGGCCCAAGGCCTACATGTTCCTGTGCGCTTTCAAACAACTGTTCATAGATAATATGTCGTGTGGAAATTATTATCCTTGTCAGAAAGTATTGTTAATGAATGTACAACGCACAGGCCATAAATCAGGACAAGTTAAGCGCTGTTGGTCGTGGAGGGTTGACGGGCAGCTTCAGGCCTGTCCACACACTGAAACACCTGCTACACATTCTACATGTAGGATCACCTGGGGCATTTGAATTTGTTTGAAATATTTTCCTATTCGATAAGCCTTTGGGTCTCCATCGATAAATCGACAAATGTAATCAAACATAAAACAAAATCCACGATGGCACAACACAGAGAGATTACCGAAAACACTAAATAACGGGGGCGGTCGGGTAGCCTAGTGGTTAAAGCGTTCGCTCGTCACGCCGAAGACTCGGGTTCGATTCCCGACGTGGGTACAATGTGTGAAGGCCATTTCCGGGGTCCCCCGCCGTGATATTGCTGGAATATTGCTAAAAGCGGCGTAAAACCATACTCACTCACTCACTACATAACGGAAATGGACACCAGAGAGTAGAGCAGAGTATCCCTTTAAAGTGTTCACGCGTCATTGGGTATTCCCAGTAGAAGGCGTGGTGTGTGATAGACATTAACACATATGGGTCAAGACACATACGAAATTGAAGGGCAGGTATTTTTGCCTGGGGGATATTTATCATAAGACATGGAGGTCTAATGTTTGTTTCGGGGTAAAAGGCGCGACCCACTGTGCTGGGGGCGCAATAAAAGGTCAGTATACATAATCACTGAATCGACTTGTCTGTGACAGGGGTGTTTGGTTCAACGTCGCTTTTACAACCAGTATTTCTGTTACACGTCGGCGGGTCAGATTTATGTTGGAAATGACTTTTTGAAACCTAGAAACATGATCATGATCTTGGATTCGAGTGAGTGAGTGAGTGAGTTTGGTTTTACGCCGTTTTTAGCAATATTCAAGCAATATCACGGCGGGGTACACCAGAATTGGGCTTCACACATGTCGGGAATCGAACCCGGGTCTTCGGCGTGACGAGCGAAAGTTTTAACCACTAGGCTACCCGACCGCCCCTCTCGGATTCGAACCCACGACCATAAACATAAGAGAATTAAATTCCTAAAGCGAATTGCAGCACCTTTGAATCTAAGTTAGTTAGTCGACTGTGTCCGCCATGGCCCGTCATATTAAGGAGGTCTCACGGACAGTGTGTCACTATATTACATCTCGACGAGCCTAGGTGAGGTGAAATTGGGTTTAACGTCGCGTCCAAGATTATTGCACTTATATAGCGACGTGCATTCACGTGTGTGTCTGTGGCTGCTTGTACTAGTCCGGACTGATGCCGATTTATAGTGCTAGCTCACTGACATACCATGCCGCAGTTTAACATGAATACCCCACTCAGACACAGTATACTGACTCCGAGCCGACCAGTCCTTGTTTTAGCCCCTTAATGTCGAGCGCCAGATAGGGTAACAACAAGTACCATCTTTTAACGTCTTTTGGTATGACGCGGCCGGGGATCGAACCCCGGACCTTCCGCTCTCCGGGCGGACGCTCTACCACTAGACCACGGAGGCGGCCGACGAGCCTAGGTATTTCAATCAATAAATATAGACGTGTATCAAACATAAAAAAAATATGATGGCACACAAAGAGGAAATTACCGAAAACAGAAAAAAATGCCACCCGTACATGACGAGGGTTTACACAGATGTTATGTCAACCTAGCAATAGATCTACGGCCCTACTTATCTCGTTGTTACTACGACATGTAGATGAGACTACACTATTCAAGAGCAGGAACGGGTACAAAAGACAGCTGCTTAGCGTGAGGTCAATGTCACGCTAGGTTTGTTGACATTCTTTGCTGGCCTCTCTTCTTTCGCGGCCAACTCGTGTCATTCCGAGCTTACTTGTACATGTAGGTTACGGAAACGTGCGAGTGGTGCCGAATGCTTCCCTCCGTTGTTGGATCACCATTACTCTGCAGTCGACACTCGAGAGAGTGAGTAAATGTTGTCAGCACTTTTCAACCCATACCATGCCACCTTTAAATAATCCATGCCCAGACTTGGCAATCAAGGAAGTAAAGCATGAGCAACGATCCACGCCATTGGGCGATAGTGTGAGTGAGTATGGTTTTACGCCGCTTTTAGCAATATTCCAGCAATTACACGGCGGGGACACCAGAAATGGGCTTCACACATTGTACCCATGTCGGGAATCGAGCCCGGGTTTTCGGCGTGACGAGCGAACGCTTTAACCACT